CCTCTCCTGCTGATGTTCAGGTGTATATCAGTATGTAGTGTCTCTACTTTAAAGAGTCCTCTCCTGCTGATGTTCAGGTGTATATCAGTATGTAGTGTCTCTACATCTCTCCATGCTTTAATGTTGAAAAAGCTCTTTATTATTCTCATACTGCCTGTGCTGCAGCACCTCTTTTCACCCTCTGTCTAAAACCAGAGCCCAGTCTGCTCTGATTGGTTAGCTGGGCTGCTCTGTTGTGATTAGTCGACTGCTGAGAGATATCCCGCCCCTTAGAAACGCAGGTGTTTCATAGAGATGTCACTATGTAACGGAAGTAATCAAAGGACCATTTAATCCATAAAAAAAGAAATAACACACTACAGGAAATGGAAGTTGCAAAAAGCTCAATATGATCACTACTAACATGTGCTTGCTTTTTTATTTAATAAGCAAGTCTTATTTCTTTTTATCTGCCCTGTACCTTAGCTGCTGTTACGCTGTCAATGTTACCGCTGTGGGACCAATAAAGCTTTTCTGATTCTGACTCTGTATTGGTGCAAGGCTAACACCCCTCAGGCCATGTGTTGCTCTCCTTGCTCAAAGGATGTTCTGTAGCCCTCAGCATTACACTGTAGGCTTTCTATCCCCTGAACACATCCACGCACGCACGCACGCATGCACGCACGCACGCACGCACGCACGCACGCACACACACACACACACACACACACACACACACACACACACACACACACACACACACACACACACACACATACTTCTTTGCTCATTCTAAGAGTTTTTAGAACACTTTTCAATAAGTGTATATGATTTCTACTAAATATATTGACCTTTGACCTTACTTTAAAATGTGTTTTGATTTAATTCACTGCCCCCATTGATTATATTTTATAATACAAAGCATTTTAGGGAAAGTTTTCCTCCAACAATGTACTGTTTAAATTCCTCCAGTGTAATTATTTTTCTGCTCTCCTCAACATAAAATGATATGCATGAGTTGGTCAGCATGATCTGAATTCCTCTGGGGGGGGGGCATGTGTTATTATTAGCTTTTTGCTGATTAAAAACTATACACAGGGATATACTGCCGTTGACTTGATGCTTATCACGTCGGATGTAAGATGTGAAGTGACTGGAGAGCACCATCGCATCTCAACCCAGAAATCCATCTTCTCCTCTCCTTGCTGTTTCCACGGAAACGGCAGACATGCACAATGTATCAAAGAGAGAAATATGACGTGACGAGACAGAGAGAGGAGGGGGCGGAGGGGGAGTGAAAAAAAGATTGAGAAGGAATATTCCTGTCAGATAAATCAAACGCCCAAAAATAGGAACCTGTATGTGAAATATAGACTGTGTCCTTCCTCCTCCTCCTCTTCCTCCATGAGTTCTTATTCATCAAACAGAGACTCCATTACAAAGTAAATAGGTCTGAAATGGAATCAAAGACAGGGATGACAGGCCATACATCACCCTCTGCTCATTCCTCTGCTTTCTCTGTCTATAAAGCTATGACATCACATTCAGCAATGCACGAAAGGAGAGCTCAATGATGTCCTGGTTACTAAGCTGAGCTCTGTCTCCTCTGACAGGTGACACATTAAGGGAAATCCTTAGATGTGTAGAAACATAACAAATGAGCGTTTTCAATGTATGCAGAATCATTTATTTATACATCATTTAACAAGCAATTCCTGCTTTAGGCAGAGGTTAAAAAAACGATGACAATGTGCATTAAGCTGAGACTAATGGAGACTTTATCTCGTTTTTCCTATTTAACTATGTACATTTCTTTTGTATTGCTTTGGAGTGCATCGTTGACCATAAAGCGAGTGAATCTGAGTTTGGAGTTGATCAGGGGAAATGAACTTAGTGTTATTCAAAGGAACATCATGTTGGAATGAGATAGTGTTTAAAGGGCCCTATTATGCGCTTTTTGTACATCCATATTCATATTGTGTGCCCCTACTGTGACATGCCATCATCTTTGTTTCTGTGGTGTATCTTTTGGTTCTTTGGTGCATGCTCTCTCCCGCCTCCCTTCTGATTCTCCTCAGGCAGGGGGCTGCAGATGAGGCTCGCCTGTCCCCAATCACCTGAACAACCTGCTCCATACAATCCTCAGAGTGCCTCTCTGCAACGTAGAGCCTTGTGTTTCTGATCTCCTGGTTTTTCTGCGAACTCTAGTGTTTTTTCCATGGAAAACTCTCTCGGTTCGACATGTCTGCTAACCCGCTAGCTTCCTGCCATCACTGCCTGCCTTTTTTTGTTAGCATTTCTCATTAAAAACCTTGAAATCCTGACCTGAATCAGCCTCTGCTTTGGGGTCCTTTAAATACCAGAGTGTCACATTGTTATGCTTTAATGAGGCTCTGATTGGTTAGCTGGCTGGCTCTGTTGTGATTGATCAACCGCTTAGAGATGTCCCCCCCCCCCCAGCATATCACGTTCAATGTGTTGGAGGGCTTGCCAAACGAAGTGCTATTGCAGCGTCTTACTTAGTGATGTCACTATGTTACAAAACAAAGGAGTCCAATGGAGCCATTTTAGGCGGGGGGGGGGGGGGACGACACACACTCCCTCAACCCCAACAAGCGTAATGGGGTCTCTTAAAGATGATAGTGCAGGCATAATTAAATGTTAGCGAATTAAAATACTCATCCTAACCACCATAAGGAATTAGTTAAGCTATGTTAAACTCAGCTGAAGCTCAATGCTCACCTGTTTAGTAAAACATTTGCCAATGTTGCGCCTTGTGGCTGTTTTAACCCTTCGATGCCCGAGTGACTGGACCCTACACTCTTCCATAAGTGGGTCAAAAAGGACCCGTATTAGAATAATATGTGTTTTTATGACATTTTTGTCATTTTGGTTAAGAAAAGTCACTTGTATAATATTTAGTATTATTTTTTGGTTCACACTACAAATATTTTATATTTAATTTTTCACTATTTATAATTTTAGACATTTCTTTTACATTTTGAAAAAAACCGTTCTGAACATATTGTCCCAAAGATCTCCGCTATTCTGAGACCCTCACAGTATTCCAGTCCCTTTTCAAAACTCATCTCTTCTCCTCTTGTCTACTCATAGCCCCTCCCCCATCAATACATGCCGGTTGATCTAGTTTGATAGTCCTATACCCCCCACCCTAACCTTCCCTTATATTGTAAAGCGATTTTGAGTCATTGAAAAGCCCTATACAAATATAATGTATTATTATTATACTGACAGGTATCAGATCTTGCTGTGTAAAACATTCTTCCTGAGAGGTGTCACTTGTGATGTCGTCTATGTGGTCTAGTGAATGTATTCCTGACAGCTACAGGTGATAAGAATCAAAGGTTCCCATAGGATCCCATAGAAAATGCATGCGGGTCATTTTTGACCCACTTATGGAAGTTTATACAATTTCTTAAAATGTATAACAATTTTTATTTGAATGGCATGATATCCTTTTTTGAGGAATAGCTGGAATATGAAATGATACAAAAATGTAACTACAAAGATACTCTAAGAAAACCACCTCCCCGGGTCCAAAAAGACCCACTTCTGCATCTAAGGGTTAACTTTCTCCATCTTTCAAAAGCATCTTTAATTGTAATCAATGTTGTATCACTTCTCTGCTCATGGAGCTTTTGAGAAAGATGCTTACATGTGTAAATCAAAAACTGGCAACTTGTTTAGGTTGTTTGCCCGATAAGAGACTTTGGGTAATAGATGGATGAGAAAGCCAAGAAGTCAGCAGATACCGAGCTTGCAGGTAAGGAGCTGGATATTTTGTTCCTGGCGCTCACTGGACTGGACTCAAAGTTAAATCAGACTCTGGATCTGCTCTGATGGAGTTGGAGGGATGGAGGTTTGTTATGCGTACACTGAAACTGAAAGATAGAAGCAGGGCTTTTTGTTAAGCTATTACATCTGTTGTTACTTTGAATACCTATCATGATCCATATGTTTTTAAACAAAACTAAGATAATACAATGAATCACGTCAGAGCACTCTACCTTAAGGCTATATTTGCTTCCAATGCAGCTCAATAACACAATGCAGCTCAATAACACAATGCAGCTTACATGTTTGTAGAAAATGCTTCTAAATGCCTGGATGTTCAGAATAGGGTCAACAAGAGCTCTCCCCCATCCAAAAAATGTCGTGGTGTAATGATATTGGTTATAGAGTGCAGTAAGCTAATTTAATTACAAAAATGGAGAAATAATTCTTGAAGGAGTTTGAGAAAAGATTGATTTAGCTCATTGCTTATTTGCATCCCCATGTTCAGCTGCCTGAATGGCTCGTTCAGATAGAAAACCTTTGAGACTGTGTCTATCAATTATAAATGATACATTACACAACTGTTCATCCGTGCATATAAAAGCATGCACAATGATGGACCCTCTGACAAAGACTGGATTTGAGCTTGATCTTTATCTCCTCTCTCGCAGTTTGTGTCATTTCTGTCATGTGTGGGTCAACAATCAGAATCAAAGTAAGTATTAAGATGCAAAAAGGAAAAGTTGACTCCCTCTGCTGCCAGAATCTGATGGGAAGAGAGGAGGAGGGAGCAGCTGGAGTGGATGCATGTGGGGGGAAGGGGTCTCTCCAACATGTATGAACAGTAGGATTAGAGTGGGGATAGTCTGGAGAGCTGTGTGCCTTTCCCTGGTGTTACATCACAGTCCTGGAGATGTTTTTATATCTCATCTTATCTAACTGAGGCAGAGGAGGAGACAGCTGCAGAAACACACGCAGTGAAGTCACAAATACTTTTCTCTGTATGTGAAGATGTCAGCCTCGGAATACAAAACAGAACAGAATGTGTCCTTTTTTCTGCAAAGATAGTCTTTTATAGGCTCCACTCTCTCCGATGTATATTTCAGTCGGCTGAGCATCAAGCAGCAGCAGCCTATCGCCAGCCTCCCACAGCCCCTCCCCCTGCGCATGCACCGAGCGCAAAAACCGCTCCACAAATTCTATTTGGACGCATTAGCGAGCAAGATGGCGCTGTTGCTGTCAGCACCTCGGACAGCTCTCGAAACAAGACTGGACGTTTGATTTATGAGCAGAGGTGTGCCTGAACTCGTCCTGTCAGAGCTTCTCAGATGATGAGACCGCATCCGGGTGCCGCGTGAAGCTCTGGATCAACTTGACTGCTGTTAACCAGGACTTTGCCCTCCTCCTCCTCCTCCTCCTCCTCCTCCTCCTCTTCCTCCTCCTCCTCTTCCTCTTCCTCTGCAGCTATTGAAGAGTTCAGGAGGACAAATCATATACACCGGCTTCAGCCTGCAGAGGAGCAGTATATCTTCATCACAACGGTGCGAACATGGAAGGGCGCGTTGGGAAAACACCCGGGGCCGGTTCAGAGAGGAGAAACGAGGCTGTGTTCATGAAATAGTGTTGCCTAGTTTCTTGAGTTTTAATTCCTGCATTCTTACTCTTTTGCTTTTCATCGGTTGTGAAGATGTTGGTGATCCTGGTGGCGATGTCTTCAGGCTTTTTCAGCACCGGCTCTGCCCTCAGCTCCCATTTCAGCCCAGGTGAGCCGACATTCCTCTGCTAACATCCCCGGATAATGCCCTAATGCGCTGCTGTTTGATAATGCTCGTTACGCGTTAAACTACAAGTTGCTCACAAACGCATACACGTTTTAACGGCTATCTAATTCATAAGACGATCAGATACCCCGTGTTGAAACGATGCAATCGTTCAAATCCGCAATTTGTGAAGGATCCTTGCGTATGAATTGAGAATAAAAAAAGAAAAGAAAAGCAAGTAACAGAAAAATAATGTAAGCATTCTGTAAATATGATTTATAGACGTTCATATCAATAATGTGTTCTCTCTTAAAGGTGCAGTACATATAAAGGTGAAAGGTGAAAGGGAATTGTGGGAGACTTCCTCTAATTGGAGTAGGAGGGTGCACCTGTGTTATCCAACAAGTAACACAAGAGGATTATGGGAAATGATTAATGGTGGCAGGTTGTTTTCACATCATGGTGAAATCATCAGAAATCCCTGCAAAGTCAATGGCATTTTTTTATAATGCAGCATAAGCAGCAACTGGCCTATCATGTATGTGGTTTCTATGGCAACCAAAAGGCGTAGCAGTCTCTGACTCTCTTGTTACTAACAGTGAATACGAAATGGATTTACTCCTACAGTGCCTAATCATTTTCTAGAGTTACTTCGTAGTGGCATTGGCATTCTTTTCTCTGGGTTGCTTTGACATAATGAAAAACAGAAGCGTATTCATTTCCTGCAGGCGCTTAAGTGGGTCTCTACTGCCTCTCTTGAAATGGCTACCTTAGCTTCATAATGTCCTCCTGCCCTTTTCAAAGCACATTAATTTCATATCATGAATCCCCACTCTCCATTTCAGTATTGTAATCAATGCAGCAGATTGTCCTTCTCTTTTGCTTCAGAGTCTTTTCTGTTCTCTCATAATTATTAACACTCACCACATACTGTATTTAAAACAACATTTGCATAGTTGACAGGTCATCTTTCGTTCCATTGTTTATTCATTTTGAAGTGGCAGATTTGATAAATGCTACAAATGCATTTCCTTTCTTTAAAAAAGTCGGTCAGTAATTGGATAGCTGTTGTCATGGAGCTGCCCAAGGCACCAAAATCATGACATCGTGACAAATCTGATATTTCAACCCAGTCTCACATCTAAACGTGTGGTCCACAATTTGGGACGTAGTATTTCTACAAAAACGCCTCTGAAATTGTAGGATCCCTACGTTCTTTTCACCATTCATTTCAAATGGCTGGCGTCTATCTATCTATCACATGGGCTCAGGGTCGGCGTCATGGGGGGTCATTCGCGGGCCATGCCCCCCCAAATGAGTCACTGTGCCCCCCCAACGCAGGGTGGGCAAGCCTTGTCACTTTGCCGATTTTTTCTTTTTTTTATCATATAGGCTAAGTGAAAACGTTTCCACTAAAGGTTTTTTGTGTGAAATACATCAGAAATAAATAATACAAATATAAAACACAGCCTGAGGTGTGCTCACTGCTGCTCTCTGATTGGTGTGTTGCTTGACCAATGACCCCCGACCTTTTTTTTGTTATCATTACGTGGCTGAGTGTTTAGATGAAAGCCCAGTGGCGATCTGTTCATCTGTTATACTGATTATACAGTAAAGCCATCGAAAATAATATGATATACAGTACAGTACAAGTACATGGGTCTCTTTGTTTCATTCAAGCTCTGTGTGTGTGTGGCACGAGCGCATTTTGTGAGTGCGCGAGCGGTAACGTGGAATGTTGTGGTTAGCATCTGGTTAGCTAGCTATGCTAACGGATATAAAGGGCTGTTTCTACACCAAGGTGGAGGAGAGTCCTCTCCTGTCAGACTGAGAGGATCTTATAACGTCAGCTCAGTGAGGTAAGGACTCTCTCAGTGTTTAGATAGTTCACTTTAGTGTAAGTTATCTCAGTGGGTCTCAAACGGTTTGGTCACAATTTATGTAAGTATTTTCGAGGAATACCTTTATATGATCATTATAGTTATTAAAGAGAGAATAAATGAAAAACGGGTACGAAATACTATAGGACAGTAACACAAGAATACAGTTTAAAAGGGGAATGATTAGTGAAATATCCATAAAGAAAAAGTAAATCTGTGTACAGTTGTGTTTCATATGGATGCTGAGAGATGTAGGCTATCCATAGATCTCTTCACTTTGCTCTCAAAGTGCACCAGATTGATGCATTTAACTTCAATATTTTAAAAATAATATTCCCGGGGGAGCATGCCCCCAGACCCTCCTAGAGGAGGTTAGGTCCACCCCCACCTAAAACATGTTCACATGGATAGGATACTAAATACATTTGCACACTTTTTATATGATGGCCTATGTCCATATCAAATCAAATCAAGTTTTATTTATATAGCACATTTTTCAACGATTTTTGGTCGAGCCAAAGTGCTGTACATATAATAAAAAATAACCTACAGTAAAGACACTTTACAGCAAATACAACAGCACAGTTTGTGCAGAATATCAGTATGAGAAAACGACACCCTCTGTCCTTATATGTTTCTGTTTTGGTGGTCGTGCCACAACCGTGCATGTATGCACAAGTCATAGGTGCGCTATACAATAGCACTACACCCTGCAATGTGTGTGAAAGACAATAGACTTTACAGCATGTTTTTTTAAATTGAAGTTGCGTTGGTGTTTGTGTGTTGGTTGTTGACGGCAGTGTGTGCCCCCCCTTGGTAAATGATTGCCCCCCCATTCAAGTTGTTCTAGAGCCGACCCTGCATGGGCTGAAGTCGAATAGTCCATTTAACTTGTGAAATGACCCGGAAGTCCCTCAGTGGCAGCCATGATAAGTGCCGTTCGAATTCTCTAGAATGAAAGGAAAGGAGGTTTCAAACTTCCTTTATAACCTCCTTTAGCTTAGGAACCGGACCTCCCCGAAAGGAGAGGAGAAAATGCTGCCCCACAATGCCTTGCAGCCGCAGCATTTGCCGTCACACAACAGTCGGCCGGTCACGGAAACAACCGATTATGACCGAGAAATGATATCATGAAAGTTACGGTGCTTATTAAGCATTTTAAAACGTATGTGGTAAGTTGCCAAAGTGCTTTTTTTCTGAACGTTCATCAGTATTATAATCAAAAAGAGAAATATGAACGTTAGTTTTTACTGAAATGATCAAATAAAGTCAACATTTCACAGTCTTTACTGAGCTGTTTGGGTTTGTTCAACTTTTAAAAGATGTTTGAATGGTGATATACACAGTGATAGATGTTAAGGACTAACGTTTATAATAAATACATTTGTATTGATTTTAAGATCTTAGTTCATACAGTCATACGTATTGGGATCATTTGTATTAATGTGGACCGGAGGGAGAGGGTGACGAGCATAAGTTTCACTTTCCTTTTTTATTTAAATTCCAACTTTGGTCATGAAGAATATGTTTCTCTGTTGTCCACGTTCATAAAGCATAAAGCAACAGCGTCAGAGCACGGTGCAGAGTCTCTAGATGAGTTTACAGTAGTCCCTCGTTCTTATTAAACATCCATGTTGTAGTCCGCTGTATAGAAAACTGTAGTTTCCATAGTTTCCCCACAGCAGCAGACGCACATTCATGACGTCCGCTGGCGCATCATAAACACGTCGGATAGTGAAAGTGCATTCGGATTCTCTAAAGTACCGCAGTCTCTTCTCCTAAGTCCTTTTGAATTCTCCTATCCACTATTCCTTAACCCTGTGACGTTTCACTCAGAGGTCAAGGAATAGGAGATAGGGTTAGACCCTATGGGTTAGACGTTAGGAGCTGATTTTTGGATTATCCGACCGCAACCGTGATCTTCATATTTCTCTCCGCATAAAAAAAAAACATGGCCGACCTTCGTTTTATTCTCGGTGGAAAATGCCTATTTTAAGGTTAGTTTGGCCATTAAAATGCGATTTGATGCGAGAAATATGAGTTGTTATTTCAGATTATGTGTGCAGTGGATGTACATGATCTTTAGTTTGCTAGTTATTATGAAGATTACTTCAGGAAATGGTGTCTATACAACGTTTTCATTGTTACCAAGGTGGTTGCTATAGGGACGCTGCTATCGATATTATTTCTGTTATGTTGTGTAACTGTTTAATGGTGTTATCTTTATTGCTACCCCTTCCCCGTCAATGTATAGTGTTGGTCCACAGCGCAAACATATTAGTTTAACAAAATCTGCATCTAAAATCGTGACATAGATACGTTATTTTCCCCTGTGCAATTCTCCAACCCAGTCTCACATCTCACATCATATCGTCATAAGCAATACTAGAAACAGACGTAGGCAAGATCATCAGCTCGGTGATTGGATGGTTTAGCCGCAATGCACGTTGGGAGATGGTGTTTATGCGATGTGAAATCCGAAAATATTAAAAAAAATATTAATACTTTATTCCGAGTGTGCTTGCTTTTTTTCTCTTTGAAAGTCATCACATAACGGCATTGTAATACACGGTTCGGCTGCATGAAATATTACATATCTGCCGTAGTTCTCTATTTATAGAGCCCTGATGAGAAGACTTCTAGACAAACAGGAAGAACTGCCGCCAAAACTGAAAACGTGACGTGGATCATAAATATAAGCAATTAAACAACATCTTACATTTCTTTTCACACAATACGTCTGCTTGCAGTATCAACACTAATTCGGCTGACTTTTATATTTGATCCAATTGGTAGATAGGCTGTACAGATGTAGCACCTCATTTCAGACAGTTTGAAACGCGAGGGCCGTGGCCGGCACGGGGTCTGCCCTCGCTCAAAAACCTCCAGCCTGACTTGAGACCGCCCCCGTGATAAATAAATGTAATTATAATGAAGCCAGCTGCAATGGATCATTGATCCACCAGGGGGTGCAGTATGGAGTGTAGTATGGAGCTCATGTGAAATAAACTCTGATACAGTACGGTAGATTTATGTCTGGTAGGCTACTACTACTGTATAGCGGATCTTTGTTAAGATCCATATGTCACGGATAGGATCATACTCTGTGCTAAATAAGAGACA